AAATATCATATAAAAGTATTTATAATATTATAAGCTTATAGATTGTATAATCAAAATTCGGATGATTGATAATAATGTGAAACTGATTATTAAGGGAAAAAAGGTAGTAAAAAATAGATTTTTTTTCCAAAGTGAAAAAATATATTAACTCGTTGACCAGTTTATAATAATATAAATAATATTTTAATATATATATTTTAATACATAAAAAATATAAATTTTACATATTTTGGTTCGTCATAATACTCGAATATTATTTTATTAAAAAATTTATTGTCGTATAATGTCATTATTATTTATAATACTTATAGAAATAATATTCTTTTTTATATAATCATAAATATTTAATTTATATTAATATTATTTATTGACATAATTAGTTTAAAATATATCAACAAATTTAATGTTTGTTAGAATTGTGATTATATGTAAGTAAAGATAACATGGATTATATCTAACAAAATTCGCTTATGATATTTGTTAGTTATGTTATACGTTTTCTTGTACAATAAGTTAGGTTTGGGCCTTCTATGTATCTATATATATGTGTATATTGCCTTTGTGAATAATACAGAACATATTTTTTCCACTTACTTACATGGTATCAGACTAGGTTTAGGGTCAATTATAGGTTTCTCTTTTGTCGCATGTCTCCGGCCGTCTTTAATTCTCACCACCCAGACCATCCTCTCCGGCATCCTCCGGCGAGCCGTCGGCCAAACTTTCAGCCCGTTTGGCCGCGCGTGTGGCCCACACTCGCCCGGTTTCTGCGACAGCGCCGGAAACTTCAGACGGAGAGTGAGAGCCACCCCCAGCTCCGATCGCCGCGATTTTTCAGAGGTCGACTCCTCTATTCGTTGGCTACGTCCTGGTGTGCTCGGATTTGGTTTCGGTGAACTTTTCATTTTGGCCATTTACTGCTATTTTATCCTGTTTGTGATCCAGTTCGTGATTTTCTTTCGTCTTCCTATTGTTGCTGGTGCTTCTTTATTTTTTGGATATGGATTCTTCTACGGTGATCTGCCACATTTGCCATGCTCGGGGTCATATTGCTCCATTTTGTCCTACGGTGGTATGCCACATTTGTCATGTTCAGGGTCATATTGCTACATATTGTCCAGCCAAATCACACCGTTCGAGAGGTTCATTCTATCGACATCATGGATCTTCCTCTATCGCCACTTCTTCTGTTACAGCGGCTGTCACTACTGAGCCTCAGCATTCGTCTTCCACTCTTCAAGACATAGAGGCTATTCTCAAACAGGTTATTCATTCCAATTCTTCTATGTCTGCTACCGGAGGTAAATCACATTGGTATTTTGATTCTGACTGTTGCAATCACATGACCTATAGCCCGCAGCTTTTGTCTTCCTCGTCTTCCGTAACCTCTTTACCTCATATACATACTGCTAATGGTACTCTTATGAATGTTACTCACACTGGTTTGATTTCTTCCCCTTCCTTGCATCTTCCCGACACATACTGCGTTCCTGACTTGGCCTTGAATCTTATTTCTGTTGGTCAATTGGTTAACCAAGGTCTTAATGTTATATTTTCATCTTCTGGTGTTCAGGTTCAGGATTCACAGACGGGACGGCTTCTCGGGAAAGGTCGCAAGACGGGCCGGTTATTTGAGCTTGAGTCACTTCATGTCCCTCGTTCTTACTCTTTTTCTGCTTCTGCCACCGATAGTAAGTCTAGTTTCCAGTGGCATCTTCGTCTTGGGCATGTGTCTTCGAATAAAGTTCGTTCTTTATATAATAAGGGTCTTTTGGGTTCAGGTCATTTTAAGTCTTTTAGTTGTCTTCATTGCAAACTTGGGAAACAACCAGCTCTTTCTTTTTCTGATAGTTTGTCAACTGCTGATAAACCTTTTGGTTTGGTACATTCTGATATTTGGGGTCCTTCTCCTGTTGCTTCTCTGAGTGGTTTTCGGTATTTCGTTATTTTTGTTGATGATTTTTCTCGTTTTAACTGGATCTATTTTCTCAAAAATCGTTCTGAGTTGTCCAGCATATATGTGCAATTTGCTAACATGATTCTTACACAATTTTCTTGTCCTATAAAGGTCTTGCGTACTGATAATGCTCTTGAGTACAAAGATTCAACTTTTTTGAAATTTCTTTCTGATCAGTGCACCTTAGTTCAACGTTCGTGTCTATATACTTCCCAACAAAATGGACGAGCTGAACGTAAACACCGTCACATTCTTGATACTGTCGGGGCTCTTCTTCTTTCTGCTCAGTGTCCTGATCGTTTTTGGGGTGAGGCAGCCTTGACTGCTGTTTATGCTATCAATCGGTTGCCCTCATCAGTCATTAGTGATGTCAGTCCTTTTGAGAGGTTGTACGGTCAGTCTCCTGATTATACTCAGTTACGTCCTTTTGGTTGTGTTTGCTTTGTTCTTCTTCCGTCCCATGAGCGGACCAAATTAGAACCCCGAGCTCGTCTGTGTTGTTTTTTGGGTTATGGGGTAGAACACAAAGGATTTAGGTGTTGGGATCCGATTTCTAATCGGTTGCGTATTTCGCGTCATGTTACCTTTTGGGAGCATACTACCTTTTCCGCTTTGTCTAAGTTCCACATTCCCTTTGATTCGGCGTCTCCTTTATTCATGTCTATTACTTCAGATCTTTTTCCAGATACAGATATAGGTTCTGACTCACAGCTCATTGACACGCCTGTCATGCCTCCGTCTTCTGAAGTGGCTCCACCTGTGCATCCTGAACCGACAGTTCGTACTGAGCCCTCTTCTGATTCTGTACCTTTGCCAGCTATTGATCAGCGACGGTCGACTCGTGTAAGTCGTCCCCCTTCTCACTTACTTGACTATCATTTTTATCGGTCATTCTATCTCATCATGAGCCTCGGTCTTTTCGTGAGGCGAATGCTGATCCATTGTGGCAAAAAGCTATGACTGAGGAATTACAGGCCTTAGAAAAGACTCATACTTGGGATTTGGTGGATTTACCTGCTGGCAAGACTCCCATTGGATGTAAGTGGGTGTATAAGATCAAGACAAATTCAGATGGATCTATTGAGCGCTACAAAGCTCGTTTGGTTGCTAAGGGTTACTCCCAGGAGTATGGCATAGATTATGAAGAGACCTTTGCACCGGTTGCTCGTCTTACTACTGTCCGGTGTTTACATGCAGTTGCTGCTGTTCGTCGATGGTCTCTTCTACAGTTAGATGTCAAGAATGCCTTCTTACACGGTGCCTTGTCTGAGGAGGTTTACATGACTCCTCCTCCTGAATCATTGTCATCTGGGAAAGTTTGTCGTCTACGTCGAGCTTTGTATGGCTTGAAACAAGCACCTCGTGCTTGGTATGCCACGTTCAATTCTGCATTGTTTCAGTTTGGTTTCACTACGAGTGATCACGATTCTTCTTTATTTCTTCGGAGCTCCTCCTCCGAGATCATTATTTTGCTATTCTATGTTGACGATATGATCATCACGGGGGATGATATTATCGGTATTTCTGATTTGCAAGATTATCTTCGTCAGCATTTTGAGATGAAGAGTTTGGGCCAGCTTCGCTATTTTTTGGGTCTTGAGATCTCTGATTCGTCTGATGGATTCTATTTATCTCAAGCCAAGTATGCCTCTGATCTTCTTGCTCGGGCCGGTCTCACTGATTGTCAGACAGCTTCCACTTCTCTTGATTATGATGTTCGTCTTACTCCACTTGATGGCTCTCTTCTTGAGGATCCTACATTATATCGTCATCTTGTTGGGAGTTTGATATACTTGACTGGCACTCGGCCTGATATAGCTCATGCTGTTCATATTGTGAGTCAGTTTATGGCTGCTCCGAGAACCACGCATCATTCTGCTGTGTTCCACATCCTTCGCTATGTGAAGGGCACTCTATTGCATGGTTTACACTTCTCGGCCCATTCTTCTTTGACGCTTAGCGGTTATTCTGATGCAGATTGGGCTGGAGATCCTACTGATCGTCGTTCTATTACTGGGTACTGCTTCTTTCTTGGTGATTCACTTGTCTCTTGGCGCAGTAAGAAGCAAACATTGGTTTTCAGATCGAGTGCTGAGTCTGAGTATCGTGCTCTTGTTGATTCCACCTCAGAGTTATTATGGTTGCGTCGACTACTTGCTGATCTTGGTGCACCTCAGTCGGTGTCTACTGCTTTACATTGTGATAGTCAGAGTACTATAATGATGTCTCATAATGATACTTTT